TGAGGCAGGTCAGCAGCTCTGCAGCTACAGGGTTTTCTCCAGGTACCAAGAGGCCACAGCTCTAGCTCTAGGTGATGGGAACACACGCTGCCTAGTTTGGGAGCTTCCTTCCACAAACTAATTTTATACCTGTTAGTCGACTGATTGAACTGAACTTTTCCCCAAGTATCTTACCATAATTGAAAAGAAAATCTGGTCCTTGAAACTACTTATTCTTGAAATAGGGAAGCCCTTCTCTTTGAGTGTAAGGGCCATTTCATATCAAAATACACCACTAATTTATCCTCTGAGCTCTTAAATATGTAGGGTCTAGTAATATTCTTTTCTTTGGGAAAGCTTGACACATAGCAAGGAAACTAGAGTTTGTGGCTATTTTATTTTATTTTATTTAACACACACACCCCCATAGTGGGCAGATACAAATCCTCTCTCTCCTTTATTTTTTCCCCTGGCCATTGTTCAGCTCGGAGATGTTGGTTCCAACAGCTGAGAAAAAGGTGTAAGTGCACCTGGATAAACAAGCGAACAGGAACCAGAGCAAGAATGTGAATCACTCCCTGACACTGAGTTGCCCTTCCTTTCTTTCCATGGGTCTCAAGAAGTACAAGCAGTGCCTGCTGAACAATCCCAGTTGACATTTGTTTGTTCACAGTAGATCCACGGCGGTTCCAAGGGACAGCCAGCTCCCTCTTAATGGCAAAGGTATTGAGAGCACTGACTCCAGCAGCCCTTTTGAGAGAGAGGACACCAAACACCTCTGAAGTTCTGGGCTTGGCACTAACTGGAAGCCTACATCCAGCTCAGTCCTGTCTCTCTCTCCCATCACGGGCACAGTGACCAGCTGCTGGAGACCAGGAGAGGCACTTGGGAAGCAAGCACCCCTTAGGGCTCTGCACCCCCTGAAACCTGTGGCAGGGCACGTGGTAACACAGGTGCTGCCTTGTGCTGAGAAGCTTCCCCAGCCCATAGACCCATGGACCACTTGGCCCAGAGACAGACAAGAGGCACACAAGCAGCTGAGGTTGTATTTGTGTCCCTGGAGGTAGGCAGTCCTCGAGCAGCAGAGCTGGTCACAAGGTAGATGAAGCATGGATACCACCAAGTCTCCAGAATGAATCATCTCAACCCTTTAATTTTGTAAAGGGTAAACAAACGAGTGTGATGTTTGACACTTTCTAAGTGTCTGTGCAGTGGTCTAAGCAGAAAGGGGAGGGAAGCTCAGGCTGCAGAGAAGTCAAATGCTTTTGCACAAAACATGTTATTTCCCTGTTCTTAAATTCTCCTGGAAGACAGTCACCTCACTCCAAATGCTCTCTAGCATCCAGACACCACAGGTATTACGGTTTAAGTCCAAGAAAGAGCCTTTTGAAAGACCCAGAAGAGATGTTAAGCAAGTCAGAGACACTGCAATGGATACTGAGTCAAAAATGTCACTACATGTGATTTTTACACAGAGTGCATGTATACGTATGCACATGAGTGGGGTTTTTGTGTGTGAGCTCCTCCTGCAACAGTGGGCTCAGGCAGGAGCTTCCCCCTCCTGGGGTCAGTAAGTAGTAGGTAAAATATGTGTGTGTGTGACCACTACAGCAGTTGCTTTCCCAATAAACCTCTGTTCCAGGGACTTTTATCCAACCTGTTGTCTGCACTTTGCTAAGCACTGTAAAACAGATGATAAGGACACAGAATCACAGAATCTTCATGGTTGGAAGGGACCTTTGAGATCGAGTCCAACCACAAAAAAAATAATAAATGAAAACAACAAACAAAACACACAACCCAAACCAACACACACCCAACTGTCTCCTTGGGAGGACCAGAGACAAAAAACAACAATCTCGGGCACTAGAGCATGCCCTGAAGTGCCACATCTACAGGTTTCTTAAATACCTTCAGGGATGGGGACTCCACCACCTCCCTGGGCAGGCTGTTCCAGTGCCTGACCACCCTCTCAGTAAAGTATTTCTTCCTAAGATCTAATCTAAACCTCCTCTGCTGCAACTTCAGACCATTTCCTTTGCTTCTGTCATTATTCCCTTGGGAGAAGAGGCCAACAGCCACCTTTCTACACCCTCCTTTCAGGCAGTTGTAGAGGGCAATGAGATCTCCCCTCAGCCTCCTCTTCTCCAAACTAAACATGCCCAGTTCCCTCAGCCTCTCCTCGTATGACTTGTTCTCCAGACCCCTCACCAGCTTGGTGGCTCTCCTCTGGACACGCTCCAGCACTTAACACAGTGGCATTGACGATGATAAGTGGGGTCCCTGTCTCTCCCCAAGAGCCCAAGCTCTAGCCGGTGGTGCTCTCCAAGTACCCATACCAGGTGCAGACCTGACTGGCTCCAGTTCTGCTATTTTTATCAGTAAGGACAGACCTTGCCAGAGGTAAGGAGAAGGGAGAGAAGAGACATTTGCCAAGAAAGCTGCAGTTATCTGCAAAGTTGTTTTTAAATAGTCACATTCTGGCAGAAATCCTGTTCTGCGGAGTTGGGCTCGGCATTGCTCACCAAGGGATTGCTGGGGAACCAAATCAAGAGGATGGAAACACCACCTCTTTAAGCAAAGGTGCAGAAGGAGGGAGAAGGTGACGCCTGGAATGAAGCCAACCTCAGGGCAGCCACTTCTGGCCCTGCACTGAGCACTGGTAACACTGGCTGATGTCCTGAATTCATGCATTCGTCCCGGTCCTATGAACCTGCAGGTGAAGCACGGGGCAGGCTTTCAGCAGCCCGCCTTGCTGGCACATCTCCCAGGTGCATTATGGAGAGAGCTCGCTCTTAACCCAAAAGAAATGGGCAACGCCTGTGTCTTTGCCTCTCAGAGGCAACTTGCTGAGACTTCGGGCTTACTCTGGAAATCCAAAGGTGAAATTTAAACACACTTTCCAAATCCCTCCCTTTTAACCACCACAAATCCCAGCCTTGCTGCAGGGTCTGGTCTGGAGAACTTTCAGGGCTGTGGCCACATCCAGACCCTCACCTCCCAGACTTTCCACTCCCAAGCCTGACGTTGCTCTTGGCCATCACGCTCTCACAGCCAGCTCCAGCCAGGGCCTGTGGAGACCCACCTGCCTACACAGGGACACAGCACCGCCGAGTTTGAAGATCCCAGATCACGGGTTGGAGTGCCTTAAATCAGGAGGTTTGGTTTTAGCAAAGAGTGACAGACGTTGAATTTTCCCACACCCTTTGGTTGTTGAACTGCCCTTGCATCTCCTTGTTGCGTGACAAAGACCTTGCTCACTCTCCAGCAGCTCATCAATGGTGAACATCCAGCCCCATCCCTACCTGACAACTCACGTCTGAATTGTCCTGTGCCAGACCCAGCTTCTCAGGAGGTGAAGGAACTAAAATTACTCCCCTCCCTCTTCCTATGCTAGGAGGACAGAAGCTGATCTCTGAGATACACAGCAAGGTGGGTTTAGCTTATATCCATGTGAAGTGCAGCATCAGCCAAGGCCTTATTGCCCAGGTCCATCTGTGTGCAGCAGGTGGTGCTCAGTGGGATCAGTCTCTCTGCAGGGCGAGGAGTCCTCGCCCCAGAACTGATGGCTGCAGGAGGCTGATAAAATGGAATCTGGCACTGGAAGAAATTAATTGTTCAGCCTGGAGAAGAGGAGGCTCCGGGGAGACCTTATAGTGGCCTTTCAATATCTGAAGGGTGCCTATAGAAGATCTGGACAAGGACTCTTTGCCAGGAAGGGTAATGATAGGACAAGGGGAAACGGTTTTAAATTGGAAGAAAAAAGATTCAGATTAGATCTCAGGAAGAAATTTTTCACTATGAGGGTGGTGAGACACTGGAACAGGTTGCCCAGGGAAGTTGTGGATGCCCCATCCCTGGAAGTGTTCAAGGCCAGGCTGGATGTGGCCTTGAGCAACCTGCTCTAGTGGGAGGTGTCCCTGCCCAGGGCAGGGGGGTTGGAACTCAATGATCTTTGAGGTCCCTTCCAACCCAAACCATTCTATGATTCTATAATTCCAGATGCACAGTTCAGCTACACTCCCCCTGTAACACTACGCTCCTCCAAGGTAGTCCTCTGTCCTGGAGCCCAAACACACACACCGTAGTACCCAGATTTTTGACTTACATTTTATTTTCATTCCTTTCCAAGCAAGAAAACCCCTGGATTAAAACAATCAGAATTAATCAGACACCCCAAAGAATTCACCAGGAAACGGCCGTCAGGAGGACCAGGGTGACTTGGGTTGGGTTGAGTCCTCAAATCCAACTTGAGATCTGCCCCAACACCAATACCCCAAGCACACTGAGATAGGACTTTCCAGGTGACGCATGCCCCGCCACATCAGAAGGCAATAATGCAGCAGCCCTGCTGTCCTAGGGCATCTCATGCTCGTGGGATCCCTGTGGGCTGAAACAGAGGACCGTAAGGGAGCAGACCAAGTCCTTGGAGAAATGAAAGCAGGAAGAGGGATTAACCCAGAGAGAAAAATAGTATGACCCAAATTATTAACTCTGAGATGCTAACAGCCAGGGAGCCCACACTCTCACTAAGGACTCCAAAGGAATACGTTTCTCTGGTTTGACCTAGTGTCCCTGTTTTATCTCAGCCCCTCCCCAGGAAGAGGCGGGACTCTCCATGCCCGAACAGAGTTAAGCTGAAACTAGTACTGAGAATTCTGCTTGGAAGTTCTTCTGGAACAGTGCAAACCACCTATGAGCACTGTCGTTCAGCTGGCAGGAAGAGCCAGGCACAATACCAGCCCAGTTAGCCCTACAGGGTGTCCCAGTTAGACACTCCATGTCCTGTCTACAGGGCAATCCAGCAAAGACCGCATTACAAAGTGGAGTAAACAGAAGGAAGAGACTAAAGTCCCTGGAGGCCTAGGGAAGTCCAGATGTAGACTTTGGTGAAAGGAACATGCTCTATCAGAGATATACAGGGTTCCTCTGGGACAAGAAAGAGGTGGTTAGGCTGCAGAAGGAACATCACAAGGCTGCCAGGTCTGTACTGGGGCTTGCAAAAGGGACTTAGACCTACCTCAGATGCAGAAGACATTGTAATCAGCCAGGGCCTGCTCCTCTGCAACAGGACAGGAGAGACCTAAGTTATCCTCACACAGAGCCAAGCGCAAACACCCAGAGAGTCCCGGCACCCCAGGGTTCCACACTCACCTGGGTGGTAGTAGTCATAGACCTTGACATGGCCTGGCTTCAGGTTGGTCACCCCAACCTCCCGCTCCAGGTGCAGAACACAGGTCTCAGACTTATGGCTCAGCTGGGGAAGAAGAACAAATGAACAGTTCACTTATGAGCTGTTCTTTTTATTCCTCACCTAAATTTGATCCTACTGACAGACAACAGTGGCTCCGTTGAGTCAAAGGCAGGACTTCAGATGAATCTTGAATATCCTGCTGTGCTAGCCCAGTCCTTGAATCCCCACACAACTCTTGGCACTGTCCTCCACTCCTGCAGCACCTCTTAGCACAACACACACATACCTTGTCCAAGTAGAGGGCAACACCTCCTTGTGTTTTCTCAGTTCTTCTCACAGGGTGCCAATGCTGCAGCTAGGACAGGACAGCAGAGGAAGCAACTTAGTTGGGTCTTTTGAAAATCAAGTGTGAGACATCCCAAAAAGGTTTAACTCGGTCTATAGCTCGGCAGGTTCTCATTCACTCACTTCCAAACTAATTTTGGGCTTTTAGCCCTTCAAGCTGATCTCCCTGCAGAACCACTCAGCTCCTGCAAAACCCAAGGACAAGAACCTAGGCTACTTAGCTGTCAAGGAGATTAATTAGGCCAGGAGGATCACCATCCTCAAGGCACAAAGAGTACATGTTCGTGTATGTCGTATGGCAGAGGGGAAGGCATGGTGAGATTGCTCAAGAGACAGACAGGCAACACCTTCCTATGCAACCTCCCCCTCTCCTTGGGCATGGACAGTCCCACTGTCACCACATCACCATCCTAATTCCAGGCTTCTTACAGACATCCCGGATCCTGGAGCCAGGACGTATCCAGACAGTAGGGATACCTCCACGATCACCATGTGGGAAATGGATCTCTTCCCAGTGTACCTGGAGGAAAAGACCAAAATATGAGTCTCTCCCGGCTTCACCTTCCCTCTACCATCATACCCTGGGTGCAGAACCCTGAGCCAGGCAGACCAGCCAGCACCGGGCTGCTCCCTCTCACAGAGAGCAGATGATGGCTATGATGCTCCAAGTATCCCCAATCTGAGGTAACTACTTGCACTCTTTTCCCTAGCAAGAACCAAAGCCCTCAGAAACATTCCCCTTCCCCAGAGACACTTGTATCCTTCCTTCTCCATCTGCCATCTGGACCTGCTGCTGAAACAGCCTGGTGTCTCCATTACAGCCAAGAAGCACCCCTCAGCTCTCCAGCCATGCCTGGCTTTCCTTCCCAAGTGGAGTCACCTGACATTGACATAGACAGTAACAGAGTGTACGTCATCCTTCGTGCAATTGACTGGCTCAGTCTCCACTTGCACTGCAAAGGATGTGGAGACCTCTGGGGAGGGCGTGTTGTACCTCAGCACCATCTGCAGGGAGAGACAAAAAGGCATGGATAGATAATCAGTTCAATATCACCTCTCATACCTGTGTTTTCACTGACTGATCTTCAAGATATGGACTCCAGACAGCGCCTGGATAAACCATATGCAGTGAGCACACTCATCCCACTACTTGAAATAAAGGTCATTCAGATCCCTCCAGCTGGGGCTCCTTCTCCTTGCCCTTCTCCTCAAGACTGTGCAAGTCAGGCACACAGTAGTGAGGCTACTGTGCAAGATTTCCATCCTCCAATACCCTGAGAACCATGGAAGCCACCACTGTCCTCACATTCAGACACACATCTCTTGAGTCTCCTACAGCACACAGGTTTATTGCATTGGCAACAGGCTGTGATTAAAACCCAGTTAATGCACATTTCTTTGCACAGGGCAGCAACAGAGAGTTTTAGCTTTGATAAGATGATGAGCAAAGGGTTGTCACAGCAGGGTCTGTGGGACGGGGGCAACCTACCTGGGTAAATACACAACAGCTGCCATGGGCCTGCAACAAGAACTTTCCCGGGACTTCTGTCAGTGCCGCCTCCTGCACCAACAGCCGGTTCTGGTAGGAGACTTGGAACTTCCTCCCAAAGCCTCTCTGGGACCTCACCCTCACTTCTGCAACCCCTTTTGTGCTGTGCGTCAGGGCTGCATACTTAGCCAAGGCCTGCAAAGCAACTACTGTGTCCTGAAAAGGAAGAAACAACTATATTTGCACGTTTCCTCTGCAGCTCTGAGACCCAGAGGAGGGCTCACCACCGCTCTGGGGGCAGGAGGTGCTGCTCTGTGGGACTGAGAGGGACAGATGAGAGCATGAACCTCTCACAGGGGTTGTGGGAGGTATATAGTTACCATCAGAAAAATATAAGAGAAATTATTTCAGGTGACCTCAGGTCACGCTGGTGTGTACATATTTTTGAAGGATGCTACAGTAGCACAGAGAAACATACACAGTAGAGACCATCCCTGCTTCTGCAGAGGGAAGCATTCTTAGGTGTTCTCAGCACACATGGAAAAGGCAACAGTGCTATGGGGACTAAGAAATGGAGCAAGCTGCAAAGTTCAGCCTAGGGTTCAAACCCAAACCTGCCGCCTGTCTGTGCTCGTTCAGACCTGAGGTTGCAGCTGTGCAGTTCTGATCCCAAAGCTCTCTGATGCCCTAAGACTGTTTTGGCCCCACATGATAAGGTCAGGATTCTCTGCAGCTTTACTCCAGCCCCTCTACAGAAAAGGATTCAACCTTCTTAGAGCAGAATCATAGAATCATAGCTCCTTGGCAGCAGACTGGCTCCTGCTTAATCATCCCCAGACCTGCAGCCCTTTTCATTTGCCCTTCAGAGGTATCCTACACCTTTCCCTTCAAGCTGTGGTCCCTCACTCTTCTTGTTCCCCCTACCAGTCCTCCCCTAGGTCTTGCACTGCAGCAAGGTCTGTGGGAGAGGATCCCACCTTCAGGAGGATCTTGTGTTCATAACAAGGCTTGTGGAATAGTGCATACCACCCCATGCTTATCCCTTCCAGAAGATGACCTGCAGGGTCCCACACTCTCTCCCTGCTATCCTAGCCTCTCCCTCAGCATCACCACTATCAATCATGAGATTTTTAAATGGCACTTACGGTTGTGCCACTATCCACAGGGTGTTGAGCAGGCAGCTCAGGAGGAAAGGAGTCCACATTTTCATGGTAAACTCCCCGAGAGGTGGATTCCTCTGGAGGGCCAGTCAGGAGAGAAGGTAGGGTGCAGCTTCTCTCCTTCCACAGTCTCCAGGCCACCTGCTGTTGTCGCCGTTTCTCCCAGGAAGCAGACAAGAAACCCCAAAGTTTCCTTCCTTCTGCCTCATTCCTGTGTTTATAGTGCTGCAGGCACAGGGTTGTACCATTCAGGATGTTCCCCAGCCAATCCAAGTCCTTTTGGACTCCAGCCTCTCTGCTCTCCTACTCCCCTGTGGATAGACCGACCAGCACCGTTCAGGCAAATTTGCTTTCTATTTCGCTAAGCAACGGCCTGTTTCCTGCTCACTGACCCTGCTCCCTGTGCCACTTGCAGCCCCAGTCCCATTGTTTTGCTTCCAGCTGGATTGTCCCACGTCCCCTTGGCACATGTGCTCAGCTGGAGCTCGCCGTGAGCTCCCGTGGTCATACTGTCCCCAGCCCTTCTGAGTCAGTAGCTCCCAAGGCAGGTCTTCATCTTGAACTGCAGACCAAGCTTTATACAAAGCAAGTATATATTCATAGTGGTCTGCCCTTTTGCAGAGCACTGCCTTACCCAGGAGGAGAGGAGAGGGAGCAGGCAGAGCTGGAGACCTCACCTTATCTCTGCCCGAGAGGGGTATTTTGGGTTGAAGGGGAAATCCAACAGTGCAAACCACTGCAGCTCTATCACACAGCCCTGTGTGCCCCACTTCAGGGTGAGCTTACACACACACTCACCGGTGGAAAGGAGGGTTAAGCATCACTGAGGCAGGTCAGCAGCTCTGCAGCTACAGGGTTTTCTCCAGCTACCAAGAGGCCACGGCTCTAGCTCTAGGTGATGGGAACACACGCTGCCTAGTTTGGGAGCTTCCTTCCACAAACTAATTTTATACCTGTTAGTCGACTGATTGAACTGAACTTTTCCCCAAGTATCTTACCATAATTGAAAAGAGAATCTGATCCTTGAAACTACTTATTCTTGAAATAGGGAAGCCCTTCTCTTTGAGTGTAAGGGCCATTTCATATCAAAATACACCACTAATTTATCCTCTGAGCTCTTAAATATGTAGGGTCTAGTAATATTCTTTTCTTTGGGAAAGCTTGACACATAGCAAGGAAACTAGAGTTTGTGGCTATCTTATTTTATTTTACACACACACACCCATAGTGGGCAGATACAAATCCTTTCTCTCCTTTATTTTTTCCCCTGGCCTTTGTTCAGCTCAGAGATGTTGGTTCCAACAGCTGAGAAAAAGGTTTATTTTATTTTATTTAACACACACACCCCCATAGTGGGCAGATACAAATCCTCTCTCTCCTTTATTTTTTCCCCTGGCCATTGTTCAGCTCGGAGATGTTGGTTCCAACAGCTGAGAAAAAGGTGTAAGTGCACCTGGATAAACAAGCGAACAGGAACCAGAGCAAGAATGTGAATCACTCCCTGACACTGAGTTGCCCTTCCTTTCTTTCCATGGGTCTCAAGAAGTACAAGCAGTGCCTGCTGAACAATCCCAGTTGACATTTGTTTGTTCACAGTAGATCCACGGCGGTTCCAAGGGACAGCCAGCTCCCTCTTAATGGCAAAGGTATTGAGAGCACTGACTCCAGCAGCCCTTTTGAGAGAGAGGACACCAAACACCTCTGAAGTTCTGGGCTTGGCACTAACTGGAAGCCTACATCCAGCTCAGTCCTGTCTCTCTCTCCCATCACGGGCACAGTGACCAGCTGCTGGAGACCAGGAGAGGCACTTGGGAAGCAAGCACCCCTTAGGGCTCTGCACCCCCTGAAACCTGTGGCAGGGCACGTGGTAACACAGGTGCTGCCTTGTGCTGAGAAGCTTCCCCAGCCCATAGACCCATGGACCACTTGGCCCAGAGACAGACAAGAGGCACACAAGCAGCTGAGGTTATATTTGTGTCCCTGGAGGTAGGCAGTCCTCGAGCAGCAGAGCTGGTCACAAGGTAGATGAAGCATGGATACCACCAAGTCTCCAGAATGAATCATCTCAACCCTTTAATTTTGTAAAGGGTAAACAAACGAGTGTGATGTTTGACACTTTCTAAGTGTCTGTGCAGTGGTCTAAGCAGAAAGGGGAGGGAAGCTCAGGCTGCAGAGAAGTCAAATGCTTTTGCACAAAACATGTTATTTCCCTGTTCTTAAATTCTCCTGGAAGACAGTCACCTCACTCCAAATGCTCTCTAGCATCCAGACACCACAGGTATTACGGTTTAAGTCCAAGAAAGAGCCTTTTGAAAGACCCAGAAGAGATGTTAAGCAAGTCAGAGACACTGCAATGGATACTGAGTCAAAAATGTCACTACATGTGATTTTTACACAGAGTGCATGTATACGTATGCACATGAGTGGGGTTTTTGTGTGTGAGCTCCTCCTGCAACAGTGGGCTCAGGCAGGAGCTTCCCCCTCCTGGGGTCAGTAAGTAGTAGGTAAAATATGTGTGTGTGTGACCACTACAGCAGTTGCTTTCCCAATAAACCTCTGTTCCAGGGACTTTTATCCAACCTGTTGTCTGCACTTTGCTAAGCACTGTAAAACAGATGATAAGGACACAGAATCACAGAATCTTCATGGTTGGAAGGGACCTTTGAGATCGAGTCCAACCACAAAAAAAATAATAAATGAAAACAACAAACAAAACACACAACCCAAACCAACACACACCCAACTGTCTCCTTGGGAGGACCAGAGACAAAAAACAACAATCTCGGGCACTAGAGCATGCCCTGAAGTGCCACATCTACAGGTTTCTTAAATACCTTCAGGGATGGGGACTCCACCACCTCCCTGGGCAGGCTGTTCCAGTGCCTGACCACCCTCTCAGTAAAGTATTTCTTCCTAAGATCTAATCTAAACCTCCTCTGCTGCAACTTCAGACCATTTCCTTTGCTTCTGTCATTATTCCCTTGGGAGAAGAGGCCAACAGCCACCTTTCTACACCCTCCTTTCAGGCAGTTGTAGAGGGCAATGAGATCTCCCCTCAGCCTCCTCTTCTCCAAACTAAACATGCCCAGTTCCCTCAGCCTCTCCTCGTATGACTTGTTCTCCAGACCCCTCACCAGCTTGGTGGCTCTCCTCTGGACACGCTCCAGCACTTAACACAGTGGCATTGACGATGATAAGTGGGGTCCCTGTCTCTCCCCAAGAGCCCAAGCTCTAGCCGGTGGTGCTCTCCAAGTACCCATACCAGGTGCAGACCTGACTGGCTCCAGTTCTGCTATTTTTATCAGTAAGGACAGACCTTGCCAGAGGTAAGGAGAAGGGAGAGAAGAGACATTTGCCAAGAAAGCTGCAGTTATCTGCAAAGTTGTTTTTAAATAGTCACATTCTGGCAGAAATCCTGTTCTGCGGAGTTGGGCTCGGCATTGCTCACCAAGGGATTGCTGGGGAACCAAATCAAGAGGATGGAAACACCACCTCTTTAAGCAAAGGTGCAGAAGGAGGGAGAAGGTGACGCCTGGAATGAAGCCAACCTCAGGGCAGCCACTTCTGGCCCTGCACTGAACACTGGTAACACTGGCTGATGTCCTGAATTCCTGCATTCGTCCCGGTCCTATTAACCTGCAGGTGAAGCACGGAGCAGGCTTTCAGCAGCCCGCCTTCTGGCACATCTCCCAGGTGCATTATGGAGAGAGCTCACTATGCATTCGTCCCGGTCCTATGAACCTGCAGGTGAAGCACGGGGCAGGCTTTCAGCAGCCCGCCTTGCTGGCACATCTCCCAGGTGCATTATGGAGAGAGCTCGCTCTTAACCCAAAAGAAATGGGCAACGCCTGTGTCTTTGCCTCTCAGAGGCAACTTGCTGAGACTTCGGGCTTACTCTGGAAATCCAAAGGTGAAATTTAAACACACTTTCCAAATCCCTCCCTTTTAACCACCACAAATCCCAGCCTTGCTGCAGGGTCTGGTCTGGAGAACTTTCAGGGCTGTGGCCACATCCAGACCCTCACCTCCCAGACTTTCCACTCCCAAGCCTGACGTTGCTCTTGGCCATCACGCTCTCACAGCCAGCTCCAGCCAGGGCCTGTGGAGACCCACCTGCCTACACAGGGACACAGCACCGCCGAGCTTGAAGATCCCAGATCACGGGTTGGAGTGCCTTAAATCAGGAGGTTTGGTTTTAGCAAAGAGTGACAGACGTTGAATTTTCCCACACCCTTTGGTTGTTGAACTGCCCTTGCATCTCCTTGTTGCGTGACAAAGACCTTGCTCACTCTCCAGCAGCTCATCAATGGTGAACATCCAGCCCCATCCCTACCTGACAACTCACGTCTGAATTGTCCTGTGCCAGACCCAGCTTCTCAGGAGGTGAAGGAACTAAAATTACTCCCCTCCCTCTTCCTATGCTAGGAGGACAGAAGCTGATCTCTGAGATACACAGCAAGGTGGGTTTAGCTTATATCCATGTGAAGTGCAGCATCAGCCAAGGCCTTATTGCCCAGGTCCATCTGTGTGCAGCAGGTGGTGCTCAGTGGGATCAGTCTCTCTGCAGGGCGAGGAGTCCTCGCCCCAGAACTGATGGCTGCAGGAGGCTGATAAAATGGAATCTGGCACTGGAAGAAATTAATTGTTCAGCCTGGAGAAGAGGAGGCTCCGGGGAGACCTTATAGTGGCCTTTCAATATCTGAAGGGTGCCTATAGAAGATCTGGACAAGGACTCTTTGCCAGGAAGGGTAATGATAGGACAAGGGGAAACGGTTTTAAATTGGAAGAAAAAAGATTCAGATTAGATCTCAGGAAGAAATTTTTCACTATGAGGGTGGTGAGACACTGGAACAGGTTGCCCAGGGAAGTTGTGGATGCCCCATCCCTGGAAGTGTTCAAGGCCAGGCTGGATGTGGCCTTGAGCAACCTGCTCTAGTGGGAGGTGTCCCTGCCCAGGGCAGGGGGGTTGGAACTCAATGATCTTTGAGGTCCCTTCCAACCCAAACCATTCTATGATTCTATAATTCCAGATGCACAGTTCAGCTACACTCCCCCTGTAACACTACGCTCCTCCAAGGTAGTCCTCTGTCCTGGAGCCCAAACACACACACCGTAGTACCCAGATTTTTGACTTACATTTTATTTTCATTCCTTTCCAAGCAAGAAAACCCCTGGATTAAAACAATCAGAATTAATCAGACACCCCAAAGAATTCACCAGGAAACGGCCGTCAGGAGGACCAGGGTGACTTGGGTTGGGTTGAGTCCTCAAATCCAACTTGAGATCTGCCCCAACACCAATACCCCAAGCACACTGAGATAGGACTTTCCAGGTGACGCATGCCCCGCCACATCAGAAGGCAATAATGCAGCAGCCCTGCTGTCCTAGGGCATCTCATGCTCGTGGGATCCCTGTGGGCTGAAACAGAGGACCGTAAGGGAGCAGACCAAGTCCTTGGAGAAATGAAAGCAGGAAGAGGGATTAACCCAGAGAGAAAAATAGTATGACCCAAATTATTAACTCTGAGATGCTAACAGCCAGGGAGCCCACACTCTCACTAAGGACTCCAAAGGAATACGTTTCTCTGGTTTGACCTAGTGTCCCTGTTTTATCTCAGCCCCTCCCCAGGAAGAGGCGGGACTCTCCATGCCCGAACAGAGTTAAGCTGAAACTAGTACTGAGAATTCTGCTTGGAAGTTCTTCTGGAACAGTGCAAACCACCTATGAGCACTGTCGTTCAGCTGGCAGGAAGAGCCAGGCACAATACCAGCCCAGTTAGCCCTACAGGGTGTCCCAGTTAGACACTCCATGTCCTGTCTACAGGGCAATCCAGCAAAGACCGCATTACAAAGTGGAGTAAACAGAAGGAAGAGACTAAAGTCCCTGGAGGCCTAGGGAAGTCCAGATGTAGACTTTGGTGAAAGGAACATGCTCTATCAGAGATATACAGGGTTCCTCTGGGACAAGAAAGAGGTGGTTAGGCTGCAGAAGGAACATCACAAGGCTGCCAGGTCTGTACTGGGGCTTGCAAAAGGGACTTAGACCTACCTCAGATGCAGAAGACATTGTAATCAGCCAGGGCCTGCTCCTCTGCAACAGGACAGGAGAGACCTAAGTTATCCTCACACAGAGCCAAGCGCAAACACCCAGAGAGTCCCGGCACCCCAGGGTTCCACACTCACCTGGGTGGTAGTAGTCATAGACCTTGACATGGCCTGGCTTCAGGTTGGTCACCCCAACCTCCCGCTCCAGGTGCAGAACACAGGTCTCAGACTTATGGCTCAGCTGGGGAAGAAGAACAAATGAACAGTTCACTTATGAGCTGTTCTTTTTATTCCTCACCTAAATTTGATCCTACTGACAGACAACAGTGGCTCCGTTGAGTCAAAGGCAGGACTTCAGATGAATCTTGAATATCCTGCTGTGCTAGCCCAGTCCTTGAATCCCCACACAACTCTTGGCACTGTCCTCCACTCCTGCAGCACCTCTTAGCACAACACACACATACCTTGTCCAAGTAGAGGGCAACACCTCCTTGTGTTTTCTCAGTTCTTCTCACAGGGTGCCAATGCTGCAGCTAGGACAGGACAGCAGAGGAAGCAACTTAGTTGGGTCTTTTGAAAATCAAGTGTGAGACATCCCAAAAAGGTTTAACTCGGTCTATAGCTCGGCAGGTTCTCATTCACTCACTTCCAAACTAATTTTGGGCTTTTAGCCCTTCAAGCTGATCTCCCTGCAGAACCACTCAGCTCCTGCAAAACCCAAGGACAAGAACCTAGGCTACTTAGCTGTCAAGGAGATTAATTAGGCCAGGAGGATCACCATCCTCAAGGCACAAAGAGTACATGTTCGTGTATGTCGTATGGCAGAGGGGAAGGCATGGTGAGATTGCTCAAGAGACAGACAGGCAACACCTTCCTATGCAACCTCCCCCTCTCCTTGGGCATGGACAGTCCCACTGTCACCACATCACCATCCTAATTCCAGGCTTCTTACAGACATCCCGGATCCCGGAGCCAGGACGTATCCAGACAGTAGGGATACCTCCACGATCACCATGTGGGAAATGGATCTCTTCCCAGTGTACCTGGAGGAAAAGACCAAAATATGAGTCTCTCCCAGCTTCACCTTCCCTCTACCATCATACCCTGGGTGCAGAACCCTGAGCCAGGCAGACCAGCCAGCACCGGGCTGCTCCCTCTTGCAGAGAGCAGATGATGGCTATGATGCTCCAAGTATCCCCAATCTGAGGTAACTACTTGCACTCTTTTCCCTAGCAAGAACCAAAGCCCTCAGAAACATTCCCCTTCCCCAGAGACACTTGTATCCTTCCTTCTCCATCTGCCATCTGGACTTGCTGCTGAAACAGCCTGGTGTCTCCATTACAGCCAAGAAGCACCCCTCAGCTCTCCAGCCATGCCTGGCTTTCCTTCCCAAGTGGAGTCACCTGACATTGACATAGACAGTAACAGAGTGTACGTCATCCTTCGTGCAATTGACTGGCTCAGTCTCCACTTGCACTGCAAAGGATGTGGAGACCTCTGGGGAGGGCGTGTTGTACCTCAGCACCATCTGCAGGGAGAGACAAAAAGGCATGGATAGATAATCAGTTCAATATCACCTCTCATACCTGTGTTTTCACTGACTGATCTTCAAGATATGGACTCCAGACAGCGCCTGGATAAACCATATGCAGTGAGCACACTCATCCCACTACTTGAAATAAAGGTCATTCAGATCCCTCCATCTGGGGCTCCTTCTCCTTGCCCTTCTCCTCAAGACTGTGCAAGTCAGGCACACAGTAGTGAGGCTACTGTGCAAGATTTCCATCCTCCAATACCCTGAGAACCATGGAAGCCACCACTGTCCTCACATTCAGACACACATCTCTTGAGTCTCCTACAGCACACAGGTTTATTGCATTGGCAACAGGCTGTGATTAAAACCCAGTTAATGCACATTTCTTTGCACAGGGCAGCAACAGAGAGTTTTAGCTTTGATAAGATGATGAGCAAAGGGTTGTCACAGCAGGGTCTGTGGGACGGGGGCAACCTACCTGGGTAAATACACAACAGCTGCCATGGGCCTGCAACAAGAACTTTCCCGGGACTTCTGTCAGTGCCGCCTCCTGCACCAACAGCCGGTTCTGGTAGGAGACTTGGAACTTCCTCCCAAAGCCTCTCTGGGACCTCACCCTCACTTCTGCAACCCCTTTTGTGCTGTGCGTCAGGGCTGCATACTTAGCCAAGGCCTGCAAAGCAACTACTGTGTCCTGAAAAGGAAGAAACAACTATATTTGCACGTTTCCTCTGCAGCTCTGAGACCCAGCTTGAAACCAGTCTTGAACTCGTCATCATGAGGATCTCTGTATACCAGGGCTCCTCTCCTCAAAGCCTTCATGATGTTATTTTCACACTTGAATATATTACAGAATCACATGGGGTGATGAAGATCATCTAGTCCAACCCCCCTGCCAAAGCAGGTCCACCCAGAGCAGGTTGCACAGGAACATGTCCAGGTGGGTTTTGAATGTCTCCAGAGGAGACTCCACCACCTCCCTGGGCAGCCTGTTCCAGGCCTCTGCCATCATCAAAGTAAAGAAGTTCCTCCTCATGTTTAGGTGGCACTTCTTATATTCAAGTTTGTGCCCATTTCCTCTTCTCCTATCCCTGGGCACCACTGAAAAAGTACCAAAAAATACACTGAAAAAGACTGAAAAAGACACTGAAAAATATTGCGCCAAGGTTCTTTCTCAAGAAACATCCCCTTCATTGGCCCTAGCCCTTCAAGCTGATCTCCTTGCAGGACCACTCAGCTCCTGCAAAACCCAACGACAGGAACCTAGGCTACTTAGTTGTCAAGGACATGAATTAGGCCAGGAGGATCACCATCCTCAAGGCACAAAGAGTAAGTGTTCGTGTTTGTTGTATGGCAGAGGGGAAGGCATGGTGAGATTGCTCAAGAGACAGACAGGCAACACCTTCCTATGCAACCTCCCCCTCTCCTTGGGCATGGACAGTCCCACTGTCACCACATCACCATTGTTGCGTGACAAAGACCTTGCTCACTCTCCAGCAGCTCATCAATGGTGAACATCCAGCCCCATCCCTACCTGACAACTCACGTCTGAATTGTCCTGTGCCAGACCCAGCTTCTCAGGAGGTGAAGGAACTAAAATTACTCCCCTCCCTCTTCCTATGCTAGGAGGACAGAAGCTGATCTCTGAGATACACAGCAAGGGGGACCTAGCTTCTATCCATGTGAAGTGCAGCATCAGCCAAGGCCTTATTGCCCAGGTCCATCTGTGTGCAGCAGGTGGTGCTCAGTGGGATCAGTCTCTCTGCAGGGCGAGGAGTCCTCGCCCCAGAACTGATGGCTGCAGGAGACTGATAAAATGGAATCTGGCACTGGAAGAAATTAATTGTTCAGCCTGGAGAAGAGGAGGCTCCGGGGAGACCTTATAGTGGCCTTTCACTAGGACTCCAGACAGCGCCTGGATAAACCATATGCAGTGAGCACACTCATCCCACTACTTGAAATAAAGGTCATTCAGATCCCTCCAGCTGGGGCTCCTTCTCCTTGCCCTTCTCCTCAAGACTGTGCAAGTCAGGCACACGGTAGTGAGGCTACTGTGCAAGATTTCCATCCTCCAATACCCTGAGAACCATGGAAGCCACCACTGTCCTCACATTCAGACACACATCTCTTGAGTCTCCTACAGCACACAGGTTTATTGCATTGGCAACAGGCTGTGATTAAAACCCAGTTAATGCACATTTCTTTGCACAGGGCAGCAACAGAGAGTTTTAGCTTTGATAAGATGATGAGCAAAGGGTTGTCACAGCAGGGTCTGTGGGACGGGGGCAACCTACCTGGGTAAATACACAACAGCTGCCATGGGCCTGCAACAAGAACTTTCCTGGGACTTCTGTCAGTGCCGCCTCCTGCACCAACAGCCGGTTCTGGTAGGAGACTTGGAACTTCCTCCCAAAGCCTCTCTGGGACCTCACCCTCACTTCTGCAACCCCTTTTGTGCTGTGCGTCAGGGCTGCATACTTAGCCAAGGCCTGCAAAGCAACTACTGTGTCCTGAAAAGGAAGAAACAACTATATTTGCACGTTTCCTCTGCAGCTCTGAGACCCAGCTTGAAACCAGTCTTGAACTCGTCATCATGAGGATCTCTGTATACCAGGGCTCCTCTCCTCAAAGCCTTCATGATGTTATTTTCACACTTGAATATATTACAGAATCACATGGGGTGATGGAGATCATCTAATCCAACCCCCCTGCCAAAGCAGGTCCACCCAGAGCAGGTTGCACAGGAACATGTCCAGGTGGGTTTTGAATGTCTCCAGAGGAGACTCCACCACCTCCCTGGGCAGCCTGTTCCAGGGCTCTGCCATCCTCAAAGTAAAGAAGTTCCTCCTCATGTTTAGGTGGCACTTCTTATATTAAAGTTTGTGCCCATTTCCTCTTCTCCTATCCCTGGGCACCACTGAAAAAGTACCAAAAAATGCACTGAAAAAGACACTGAAAAATATTGCGCCGAGGTTCTTTCTCAAGAAACATCCCCTTCATTGGCCATGAGATACCTGTGTCGAGGCAAACCCTCCATAGGCATTCTGCTGCCTGGTGAGCCAAGCCACGATGCCAGATGCCGTCGTGAGATCAGATGCTGTGCTATTTGGCTTGGAGAGCAGGGCCAGGAGGACGTAGGCTGTCATCTCCACATCTACAGACCGTGGCTCTGACCAAGGGCTGGTTCTGGGTCTGGGCTTTGCTGGGGTCTCACTCCAGTAGATCTGCCCACCTGGGAAAGGAAAGGAGTAGATGACATTGAGGGATGTCCAGAAAGAAACCCTGAGGTCTAGGAGTCACAGTGGTGTGTATAGGCAAAGACCACTTAGTAAATACATTGTGGCTGGGTCATCACGTCACCGGGTGAACTGCAGCCCTATGTATTTTGCAATACCCAACACTCCATATCACGCATTTAAAGACCCATTTACCAAATGGGCAAAAACTAATATGCCAGTAATCGGCATACACGTCACCTCCCAGACCTCCAACTTCTCTGTTGCCCTGCTTGCCTGGTCCAGTAACTACCTGATCCTAGCTAGCTACCCACTAGCGAGTCCTCAGGGTTAGGGGCTAACTAGAAGTGGGGCGGTGTGCCAGTTTGCTTCCCTCTCTGCCACTTCGCAGTCCTGCCCAAGAAAGCCCACTTCTCTGAGAGCCCAACCACTCCTTTGGGTATTAGAAAAATACAGAATCACAGAATCACCACGGTTGGAAGGGACCTCTGAGATCATCAAGTCCAACCTCAAAAAAAAAAAAACCAAACAAAAAAAACCCAAACAAACAAAAACCCACAAAAACCACAACAGAACAAAACAACAAAACAAAAAACACAACAGCCCACCACAAACAAACAAAATAAAAACCCCACAAAAACCACAACGGAACAAAAACAAAAACCACAACACCCCACCACATCACACCCACCCACAAACCAACAATCTCAGGCACTAGAGCATGCCCTGAAGAGCCATGTCTACACGTTTCTTAAATACCTCCAGGGATGGTGACTCCACCACCTCCCTGGGCAGGCTCTTCCAGTGCCTGACCACCCTCTCAGGAAAGTAATTCTTCCTGATATCTTACGACTCCACCACCTCCCTGGCCAGGCTGTGCCAGCGCTGGACCACTCTCTCAGGAAAGTAATTCTTCCTAATATCTAATCTAAACCTCCCCTGCCCCAACTTCAGACCCTTTCCTCTGCTTCTGTCATTATTCTCTTGGGAGAAGAGGACAACCCCCCACCTCTCTACACCCTCCTTTCAGGTAGTTGTAGAGGGCAGTGAGGTCTCCCCTCAGCCTCCTCTTCTCCAAACTAAACATGCCCAGTTCCCTCAGCCTCTCCTCCTATGACTTGTTCTCCAGACCCCTCACCGGCTTGGTGGCTCTCCTCTGGACACGCTCCAGCAGCTCAATGTCGTTCCTGTAGTGAAGGGCCCAGAACTGACCACAGCCCTCGAGGTGAGGCCTCACCAGTGCCCAGTACAGAGGCACGATAAATATGGGAGGTTTGAAGGAAATCAGCATCCACCATACAAAGCCCATACTTTGCGTTCATAGATTTGCTGTCTAAAAAAGTCTCTTTGGACACAACTTAAGACCTGAAGGGTAAGGACCACAGTCCTTCCAGGCTGCACGTAGCCAAGGGCTCAGAAAGGTTGCTTGCCCCGTCTCTGGTGTTCACCTGGCACTGAGACTCCCGTACCTGTTCTGATCGCCTTTCCATCAAGCGTATCAAGGAGCTCTTGTGCACGTTGAGAGTCCTTAGCCAGGGCAAAGGTGTAGGCCAGCAGGGCCTGGGTGTAAGTGCTGGTAGCTTTGGGAAGGGAAGGAGCGATGCAGCCCAGAGCCTTGCGCACCACTGTGCTCTGCAGGGAAGAGTGGCACAGATGTTGGTCGCACACAAGCACACGTTGAAGCAGGCAAACACCGAGGTAGACAAGCAGAAGGATGCATCAGCATATGCCAGCACAGAAAGCATCCCGTACAGTCACCCGGGTGTCTCTGTGCAGGCTTCAGCTGTGCTTTCTCAGTGAAATGAACACCTTTACTGCTGGAATAGAATCATAGAATCATAGACTCGTCTAGGTTGGATGGGACCTTAAAGATCATCTAGTCCAACCATCAACCTAACTGACAAAAAATAAATAAGAAATAAGCAATTAAAAAAAAAAAAAAAGAAAGAAAAAAAAATCACTAAACCATATTCTTGAGGACCATGTCAACCCGTCTTTTGAACACCTCCAGGGATGGTGCCTCAATCACCTCCCTGGGCAGCCCATTCCAATGCTGGATAACCCTTTCCATGAAGAAATTTTTCCTAATATCCAACCTGAACCTCCCCTGGCGCAACTTGAGACCATTTCCCCTTGTCCTGTCTCCTGTGACTTGGGAGACAAGACCAACTCCCGCCTCTCTACACCCCCCCTTCAGGGAGTTATAGAGCATGATAAGGTCTCCCCTCAGCCTCCTCTTCTCCAGACTGAACACCCCCAGCTCCCTCAGCCTCTCCTCCTAAGACTTACTCTCCAGACCCCTCACCAGCTACATTGCCCTTCTCTGGACCCGCTCCAGCACCTCAATGTCTTTTATGTGGTAAGAGGCCCAAAACTGGACACAGTACTCGAGGTGAGGCCTCACCAGTGCCGAGTACGGGGGGAAATAACACCCCATGTCGTATTTTCCAAGTCCAAACACAATGAGAGCAGCAATACACAACTGCAAATGCTTACGCTCAGCCTGCTGACCAAGACTGCTGTGTTCAATTCACCTCTACGGTGCCTTACAAGGTCACGGGGATTTCCAGTCTCCCCTGGAAGACCAGCACTGCTGTTGGCAGGGGACGGCAAACCCACTGGTCTCAGCAGCACTGTATTCCAGCATTCAGCTATGCTATTCCAAACATGAGCCACAGGCTCACAGTGGTTGCCTGTCCCATATGGGTGCATCTACAGCACTATGTGGCTTCCCCTCTTCTAGTGGCATCCTGGTTAAGTTAAAGCAAGGATCCCACAAGGGCTACATTTAAAATTTATTCTGACGTGCAACATGCTCCTCACCTCTTTCCCTTCTACGAAAGAGAAAAGGTAACATCTGTGTCATCTTGTGCTCTTTAGATGGTGGAGTAGCATTGCCAGATGCAGCCACCAATTTATAGGAATGCTCATAGCATCTACTCATGGAGGACCAAAAGTTCCAAGGATCTAGATGATGCTTTTTGGTTGATCTCTTGTTAAAGCCCAGCAGAAGCAGTAAGCTAAGCTTCCATCATTTCAGAAGTCCTACTTTTCTATTTGCCCTTAAATATAACTGCAAGCAGCACAGTAACCTCTTGTATTCTGTAACTGAATAGACATAAGTACAAATTACATCACATTTGTCAATTTGTTCAGAGGCCCCTTTATTATTCTTTTTCCTTCTTACATCTCTCACTCTCCCAGACAGTTAAAATGGAGATAACATCTCCATTGTGCTTGTACAACTACCAAACTTCAAGTGAAAACACTTGATGTACTACTACCCGTGACGTGTGACTGTTATCATACATCTTAGTACCTTGTCCAGGGACAGTCTGACACGTACTATAACCCATCTGGCTCTGGTGTCTTCTGGTGAAACCAGCACAAGAACTGAGAGTGCCACTCGACTGGAAGTGTTATCACACTTAGTGTGCTCATCCCACTGTTGACAATAGCCGTCCTCAGTACAGAAGATTTTAGCTTCCCTGGGAGCAGTCACAAGCCAGCTAAGAAACTGCTCCTCACAACACGCCGTTTGTTTCTGCTGACAACATTAACAATCTCTTTTGTTTCAAGAGATCAATTTCCAACACAGAGTTGGGGTAGAGGACTGTTCATCTCTGCCTAGACCTTTTTTTGTCATACAAACCATGCTTTAATAGGAGTTCATTCAGAACGCTGTAAAGTATCTCCAGCCTTTTCCCTGCATTTTATCCCCTGATGACTTTCATGAGCCTTTTAGGTATGCTTGTAAGGGAAAGGAGGATCTGTTCTGAACACCATGAGTGCATTAGCCCTTGCAGGACGTCCTCAAACTCCTTCCCAGGATTTTGGCCTCCAGTCATTGTGTATTCTTTGTAAAATCATTTATAATCCACTCAAGGATACTCTTCTGGGTGCTGTGACACGCTTTGTGCTTCCCACTTCATCTGCCAACAGACTTACTCAGCAAATTCCTTCACTGCAGTTAGGCTAACTACTGTGGGACTTGTATTTTTACCTATTTGATGTTACTTACGAGCGTCTTTCATTGTCATGACTATTTTATCTAAAAACAATTGTTTATTTATGCATGTGTGTCCAGTTGAATAACCGTCTAGTCACTTTCACATCAACAAATCTTCTGATGCAACAAAGCATTCCTCACTCCACGGACAAGCCTCTCTGAGCTAATAACACTGTTGTCATCTTCTCTGGAGCATTTTCTCATCGCTGTCAGAGCACTAAGTCACCCTCTGTGAATTCATTCCAGACAGAGTGGTTTCCTCCAGCTCATTGTGCAAATTGCTTTGATGAAGAGAAAAATCCTTTCAGGATTTTACTTATGGATTTGGAGCACAGTCTGGTCTCTTCTCAGAAACTCTTTGCTTTCCTTCCCAAAAGACAAAACTGATTCTTAAGACCTACAATAAATTCTTAGCTAATTTTCTACTAGGACAAAGGTGCTTGTCCTTTTGTTTCCTTCTGCTGCAGAGCACAGTTCGTCAAACATTTTTCATCCAGTTTCATGAAAAGCCTCCTCAACAAAAGTCAGCCAAAACTCAGACAGTTCACAGAATTACTAAATTATAGAATATCTCAGATTGTGATGGACCTCAGAAGGTCTCTAACCCAACCCCCTGTTCCAAGCAGGGTTAGCTATGAGATCAGACTAGGTTGCTCAGGGTTTTATCCAGTCAGGTCTTGAAAATGTCCAGTGATGGAGACAACTAAACCTCTCTAGGCAACCTGTTCCAATACTTAGTTGTCCTTACAGTGAAAAAGGGTCACCTAAATGATATCTGTTGCCAGAAAGAAGGTTAATTTCCATTTGTCTCACTTTTTTCCCTAAGCCCATTGCTTTCAGTTGCAATGAAAAGTACTGTTCTTTCACTTACTTTTCTTATTTCCAGAGAATTTTGCTTCTCAAAGTCTATAGCAATAGCATTTCTCCATCAAGGTGACCATATTTTTTTAACTGCCAGCACCACCGAGTAATTAGTTAGCACTAATTTATAATATATATACCATACATATATATTTATAATAGATTCTCCCTACAGCACTCCTTTCTCAAACTTCCACTCTCTGGGAAGCTAAAGCACATTACAAATGTCATTATGGCTATTTACTTGACTGCGGGAGTAGATACACCAACTTCTTCTCCCTAACTAATCAGCACTACCTCTCAGCTATGCATAGTACAAAGGGCGAAAGGGGGTGGGAGAGGAACAAGGAGCAGGACTGAGCAGCCAAAGCCTGGGAAATAGGCATGATATATATCCGTGAGCTCCAATGGCTCCCTGTAGTCTAACCTCACCTTCTCCCCTGCCAGTGATGTCCTCCTCAAGGGGTAGTTGAGACTTTTTCCTGAGAAGTGATAAGTTCTTTGTTATTACTTAGGTGTGCAATTCCAACTGCCCTGCTTCATAACATGTAGTCTAACCTCATCTTCTCCCCTGTCAGTGATGTCCTCCTCAAGGGGTAGGTGAGACTTTTTCCTGAGAAGTGATAAGTTCTTCCTCCCCCAGCCTATTACTTTGTTCACAAGTTTCTCCAAGATGCTTTGTTGCCTGCCCCAGTGACACCACTAAGGTCTTCAAAATTCAGATCTTAAGGGAAGATCACGACAAAGAATCCAAATAGTTACCTCTGGTGTCTCTCCTGCCTCCAAGTATGCAGCAGTGATGTAGGCAGCCAAGGGGACTTCCCCATCCACACCTCCCTACAAAAAGTATAAACATCCAAAAAGCTGGGAAAGTTAATACACAAAGAGCTGAAGCATTTCAGTAAAGGTCCCACCTGTCTCTGTCTTGCTCCCACACAAGAAAGCAGAACAACACAGGAAAATGAACTAAAAGAATTACCAATAGACTTGGCAAGAACTGCTTTGAGTTGTTCTTCAAGGTGTTCTGGCTCCTACCTTCATGGCTGTGTGGAAAAGTTGGCCCACGTTTCTGAAGCAACCGTTGGGAAGCTGGTGGAACTCCAGCCAGGTGAGAGCAGCTTGGATCGTCCTGTTGTCCAGGAAAATGTATGGCTTGGCTTGGACAAAGCATTTAACCACAAATGCAGTCAGCCTGGTTGGGAAGAGAAGAGAAAAAAGAAATGAGAGGGAAGAGAGAAGCATAAAGAGATGGAGTGAATGACAGAAAGGGGAGAATGGGTGAAAATAAAAATATCTAAGTAGAAGCTAAGGAAAAAGAGAAAAAGTGGGAGTTTGAAACTAGTTTGAAAACTCTCCTTGGCTATTGTTCTGCTATTCCTTGTTTGCTAATCCAAGGACAGTTCATCCGAAGGATAGCTGCATACCCCTGGGGTGCCCTAGCCTTCAAAACATCTGGAACACTTTTGGTCCAATAGGAAAGAAAGGATTCGGTGTTGGAAGCAGAAAGCTGCCTACCTCTAAACTGTTAGATATCAGGCAGACAGCAGGGAAAGAGTCCAGGCTTACCAAGTATTACCGTATTCATCCTTGGTACCAAATTCACTGTAGGAACCATCAGGGTGTTGATACTGCAGCTGTATCTGATACCCTGGGAAGCAGGACAGGACATTAGTGCTCAGAATGGTACTTGCAATGAAATCACTGGACAGGGAATGGGGTGGTGTTAACACCATAAGTGGTCGAGTGCTCTGGAGGGAGGAGGAGGAGGCAACCATTGACAGGTTGAGCAGAGGGGAAGGCAGAGGAGCAAGGTGGGCCTGCTGTACTTGCCCTTGCGCAGGAATCCTGATGCCCTCTCCTTGATTTCGGGGGTCAGCTGCCTCGTCTTCTCCAGGTACTGCAGCACATAGACAATGGGGGCAAACAGCACCATGTTCTGCTCCCCACAGCCGTGGGGCATCTGCACCAGGTGGTCCAGGTTCTGCAGCGCCGTCCCCATGAGGTCACCTGGAACAGAGCATAGGCACCCTTACCACCTCCAGGGCAGAAGGCTTGGGGATTCACCTCCTCCCACCTGTGACCAGTTTCCAGCTGGGTGCCAGGCAAGATAGCCCCAGCACAGCAGTGAGAGGGCACCTCTGTCCCGCAAGCTTATTAGTGCCACTGTGCCCTCCATAGTGGCTCTACACATTCCCATCCTGGCAAGGGAAGCCTGTAAACAGAACACCTCCCTTGCTGAGGGTTTTACTTCTCTGGAACCAGGAACGCAGCACACACATGGAAAGAACAAGACAGTGGAGCCTCAGAAACCTCGGAAAGGGCATGGGGGGTTCTGGGTTAGGGCTTTCTTAGGGCTAAACTCAGAGATACGGCATTTGGAAAGGTGTTATCATAGCTGAATTCCTTACCGGTGACCGAGACGGAGGCTCTGACTGAACCTTCAACCACGTTTGGAGGCAACATGAGAGATACAGACTCCTGTGCTGGATTCCCTGACAGCAGAAGGGTAAGGTGTGTGGGGAGGACAAAAAGAAAGAGATCTGATGAAAACAGCCTTCAAAATCCCCAGAAACTGCTCAAGACTGTTCTGTGCTAACACCCAGTTTTCTGTCACAGAGGTTGCAGGTCTCCTTAAAAACCTCGTCCCATTCCACTCTCAGCTCCCTCCGTCCACCTCATCATGACTGTGCTATCCTAACAGCCTTCCTTCTAAAGAGGTTGATAGGATCTTGTCCTTGAAACGCTTTGTGGTCAAAGCCTCCTGCTTTTCTCTACATAAGTTACCCCATCTCGTTTCAGATTTCAGTTACAGGCATGTCTTCTCAATGTTTCTCCAAAAGATTGGACCTCCCCACATCCCTACCCAGGGGAAGCTCTAGCTGGCACCACAACTACAATATGCTTCTGTAGCTTGGTCATGTTGACAGAGAAAATATTTCAACAAGCGGAAAGACCCAGGAGGGGCTTAAGCAGGAAGGGGTGGATGAGCAGGGTGAAAGAGGAGAACAATCTCTCTACCTTTTTTGGGACACAGGATGGAGCTGTGAGCCTTTTCTACCAACACTCCCTCTGGCTGTTGAAGCACATAAAAGTAGCATTATAATGAGCACACAGGAGAGAAACAGGATTACAGGTGGATTAGAAATAGATAGGGACAAAATCCTGGTTCAGGCTGGAGAGTCAGCTGGAGTAACATCATCATCACATAAAAATGTAAATTATTGCCAATCATTTTCATTTCAGATAAGAAAACAACATGCATTTTCAGAACATCATAACTTCTGAATGTCTGTGAAACTGATGTTGTAAGATTCATCAGAGAGCTCAGGAGCATGGACATAAAGGGGTTTATGTATTTAGAGTTTTCCATGGTAAGAAGCGGAGGATATCCCTCTACGTCCCAGATCTATCAGCCCTCAAGGTTGGACCCAGCTCAGGCCCTGAGATTCTAATTGCGCACCTTGAATAGGAAGGGGTAACACCCAAAATTAACTTGCACAAAATCTGGGAATTGCACAAAGCCCACTTATATGTCTGCGTAACAGAAAAGCTCGTCTGACCCGGACTAGAAGGGGTTTGGTGATCGTGTCTTTCTGTCCTTGGTCTGGAACGAATACTGTCTCTTTGCCACACAGCTCTTCAGTGGCCACAGCCTCTGTGCTGAGGGTGATGTTTGTGAGCCCTGAAAATAACACATATTTAGGTCAGTTAAACATCTTCTCAGGGAGCACTTCTTATCAATACAATAGAAGTCACCTGTCAACAACGAAAAACTGGATTAGAGCTCTGTATGATTCTGTACCTCCTAGCACAGACTTGAGAGTGATCCTGACCTTATTGATGAGTGCAAATGAGTACTCTCTGGTTAACAGGGTAAACAACTCCTCACTCCATGTCAGCTCCTAGAAAACATTCCCACCTTGGTCCCACCTCTGCCCAATTCCATCCCACCCCCATCCTTCTCACCCAGCTGCTCAGCTGTGACAATCCACTGAAAGGTCTTAGCTTCCCTGGCACATAAGCAGCTGGTGTAGACACAGCCTTCACACGGCTTCAGCTGGAAGTGTGCAATCTCCTCCAGGGTCACACGGATCTGAAGAGGGAGCAGGGATGGCAGATGGTAACAAGATCAGCATCACAGGTCATAGATTTCAGCCATCTCCTACCTACCCATACCGTGCTTTTCTTGCAGAGCCTGTCAGAGCTCACCTACCTTCATGCATCGCTGCAGGTAGTTGAAGACTGTGGCCTTCAAGGTGAAGGTCTCACCCTGGACCACAGAAGATGGCAGGGTGAGCTCCACAAGAAAGGGCTTGAAAACAAGCAGACTGGAGGCTGGAGCAAGTCCAAAGCCATTACGTCCTGTGCAGAACATCTCTGCTTTCCATTTTGTGATGGTGTTAGGCACAGTGACAGTGACACTCTTGTTCCCGCTGGGACTGAGGAGAAGCAGACAACAACAGACACATTTAACTCTATCTTGCTGTACGCAGCACCAGGTGACCTGGTCTGCACCATTCTCTCCAGTGCACCCCATCACTCCAACCCCTAACCTCTGCTGTACTTATAGCCTTTGTAAGGTTACAAGTAGGTCCTTGTAGAAGTAAGGATGCTTATATCAACAGAACGTTTTTGACAATAGGTTACATGGCTGCAAGATGCCATCAGTCACACTCAGTGCTTTTCTCAGACAGCACTTGCCCCTTGTATGTCTAAAAATGCTCTACAGATGTCAGCAGTTTTATTCTTCTTGGTCCAGGGCTGGAGAACCAGACACCAGAAGAGCAACAAGACGGGCTCAACATCAGTAGAACTCAGCAGAAGAGACAGATCCAGCCATTCACCTTCCTGTGAGACAACTGACAGCTTAAAGTCCAACATGAAGACAGGGCTTGGCTTGTGCCCACATCACAACTTCTGAGAGCAGCAGACTGTTCTGTGGCTGCTATGAAACAGCCCTAGCTAAAGCTTATGACATTATTTGACTCCCAATAACTGGACACATTCATTTTTGCCAGGCACGTACAGGAAGGCAACGCACACAACACAGAGACTTTTGGTTGCACAGATCAGGCTGGTGGACAAATCACTCAGGAGATACCTGCTGCTAGGGAGCAAAGAGATGGATGTAGCTGGAAGAACAGTGGAGGTGGGAGAGGGCAGACATTGGGCATGGGGGGAGCATCTGGCCTGAGCAGACTCCAGACACCAGACAAGAAATTCTTAAAAGTCAGAGATGAAAAATCTCCAAAAGCTCCCTCAGCAGACCCTGTCTCACAGGACACAGTTCCCAGTTCTGTGAAGGAATTCTGTGGAAATTGGCTTCCCCTGCATGCCAGGATACGTTCTGTGAGCAGAGTTTGGAAAATGCCAGCCCACAGAGCCTACCACAAGCAGAGTGCAGGCAGCAAACCAAGCTCTCTTCCCATGCCAGCCACCTCCCATGGATGGACAATACTTCTGTCCAGTCATCTAGCACTGGAAAATGCATTCGATGCAGACATAAGCCGTGAGGGGAAATGGCCTGGCAGGTATGAGCCCCATGACATATGTCCTTAGACATCTTCCCCAGCAGTTTATTATCTAAATCCAGTTGTATCTGCTGCCATTCCTGGCCATGCTAAGCCACCCAGACTAGACCCATGCTGCTCAGCTTACTCACCCCACAGAATACAAATCCCATATCCAGGTTTGGGGGAGATGCTTGTGTACTTTCTCTTCAGCTGAAGAAAGAGATGAAAACATGGTGGGCTGATAGGTAGGTGTGAGATGCTCTGCTGGAAATAACAAAGACCCGGTCACCACAGGGTCCTCAGGCCCTGGTTTAGAGCAGAGGGGCTCCAGCCCAGCTCTGGCTGCAGGTCATCAAGTCAGCTCTTGGGAAGCATGGCACTGGAACAGAAGGTGCTATCCCAAATTTTAAAAACTCCTGCCTCATTTCAAACAACTGAGGTGCTGTGGGCCTTACTTGCATTTGTAGGCAGTAGGAAGGGCAGCTATTCCCTCACCTCAGAGACAAGACTTTTGGGATCCAGACAGCTCACTAGCATTTCAGAGCCAGAAGCCATGAGCCCCAGGCAGCTTCACAAGAGCACAAGAGGTTTAGAGCCAGGGAATGCTCTTGCTCCTCCATTTGCAGTTACAGCAAGTACTGCCTCTTAGCTCGAACCCAGGGCTGCTTTCACTTGGAAGACTGAGCATCCCATGGAAGAAGAAAGAGTTGGCAAATGCTTACTGTTATATGCTTTATGGGGCTGGGCAAACATCAACGTGGGCCTGGAAGTAAACACTGCTGTTTCCTGCAGCATAGTTGTCGATGGAGTGGTTGGACACACTGTGGGTTTCCTGATATTAGTGTTGGACATAATTTTCAACCCCATTTCCTGTAGGGGAAAAAAAAAAGAAAAAAAGAACTGGTGCACCAGAAGCTTGTCTTCTCTCTGCTCTCTACCCTGTGCCTTCTTGTCCCCTCACACAGCGGGGACTCGGCTTTCTTCTGGCTTGGCAAAGTATTCTCTTGCTTCATTTTAAGAGGACATTATTCAGACCTTCAGCAATGGGCAAACAAGGTCTGCTGAGCTAATTCATCTGCCCAAGAGTCAGCCACATTTATGCTTTTTCAAACACATCCTCATTTAGGTACTATGCCTTCTCAGCCTGCAGAGCGCCATTGCTCCTGCTACGGAGATTAAACAAACTATGGGAAATCCAATTAAAGTAACCAATCATTCTTGGCATCCTGAATCACACAACCAAAGCCCAGTCACCACACAAAAATTTCTGCTTGGTCAACAATTTCAAATAACTCACTCAAATAACAAGTGAGTTACAAGGGCCTGTTCCCTGTACTGTCTCCCTAGGATATTGCTGAAATCGGGGGGCCACACTTCCCTCAGTTCACGAATAATCCCAACCCACCAAATCAACCCTTTTTTACCCGGAATGCTGTAAACACATCAGGCTCATCAGAATTTGGGAACCCGCATGAGTGATCATCTTCAGACACTTGGTGAGGATACCTGGAGTTATAAAGAGATGGGAAGAGCCCATAGATCTGGGAAGGCAACAAAAAAATATAAATCAGCACAAATAAAAGCTGGCATTCCCTTCCTGTCTTACATCCAAGGCCTGTTTGAATTGCTTCTGGCTACCATGCATGACAGAAAGCCCAGGCTCACTATCACTCTTCCCTGGCTCTCCTCTGATAGAGCCAACAGAAGCTGCTGAGATGGACATGAGGCAGAACAACAGAAGCTGATCTATCACACCATTACACCACTGAGTGATGTTCAAACCCTTTCTTAATGCGTGCCCCCTAACCCTTACCCCAGCTACTCTGAGAGCACTGGTGATCCCTCTGGGCAGTGCTTTGAGTTCCTTGGGAGACAACTTCTGCACAGATGGGATGGCCTGTCTGTCTGTCTCCCTCTTCATGTCAGTACAAGGGAAGGGAAGAACTCAGAGCAGGCTCACTCACCAAGGAGCCACTAAGCTCTTCTCCTGGCTTGAGCAAAAGGTCGGTCTGATCCACAGTCCAGACAGCACACGTGGACCCAGGAGGTGCCAGCAGGTGGAGACCAACCTCTGAATCAGGAAGGGTCTTGGGCGTTGAGAAGCCCAGCTCCACCTGAACAGGACGAATGCAGGCAATAGGTGAGTGACATTTCTGCTACAGGCCACCATCTCCTCAACAGGGAAGGGACCTACGTGAAGAGAGTTTCCAAGGACTTGCCTTGGATGGAAACCTGAGGAATCTCCCAAGGAACCCCAGAAAGTATTTAAAAAAACATCACATTGAGGTTCCACCAGGAAAGATGCCAGAGGGGGAGCTATCACTGTGCGTAGCTGGAGACATTCCCGTGTCAGACCACAGCGCTATCTCTAGCCAGCAAACCAGCCAGCCATCTTCACACACCTCACAGAGCTGTCCTTCTGCTCCTTTTGGAGCCCCAGATCAAAAAGTAAGCCTAATCCTTATTTCCAGGCTTTTTGTGGGGTTGGTCTCAGTTTCCTGTTCTTGCTTTAATCTGACTGTCTGCGGCAGATAAAGAGCTGTGGAGCAGGGGTAAGGCCAGTCCTCAGAAGCTGGAGTGGAAGACACAGCCAAGAAAGCAGATTCCCATGGATGTCACAGTGACCACAAGAGCTCAGCCCTTTCTGGATCACAGAACCACATGGGGTTGGAAGGGACCTCTGGAGATCATCTAGTTCAACTCCCCTGTCCAAAGCAGGTCCACCCAGAGCAGGTTGCACAGGAACATGTCCAGGTGAGTTTTGCATGTCTCCAGAGAAGGAAACTCCACCACCTCCCTGGGCAGCCTGTTCCAGGGCTCTGCCACCCTCAAAGCGAAGAAGTTCCTCCTCATGTTTAAAATCCAGGTTTTCTATCAGCCACTTTCGGCTGTATTCCCAACACCACATACCAACAAGCTGAAGTGCCTGCTGCAGCAGCAGAGCAGCCTTGAGCTCTCCTGGGAATCCCACTAACAACCTGTGTTCCTATAGGGTTGCCGTTGCTACAAGATCCTATGGAGACAGACACCAATTTTCTGCCTTTCCCAAACATTGCAGCAGCCCCCCAGTGCTCAGCACGTACCTTACTCCATACATCACAGCACCCTTCACCACTCATACGCTGCAGTTCACGTGGCAGCATCCCACACAGGATGAGCCACACAGGGCTACACATGTTACGTATTCCTCAGTCTCTACCTCCATTGCAGTAGGAACACACACCCTCACACTTTCAGTCATGGCCTCAGGCACAAAACCTACCTTATTTCTGAAGCACGTGGAGACGCTGAAGACAGCAGAGTCGGCAATGATTTTTCCATTAGGGAAGATAACATAAACAACGAGTCTTGGAGCAGGGGCATAGATCGAGCTGAAGGTAAGAGGGATGGAGAAGAAGCCTTCCATCACTAGATGGAGGAGAGAGGGAAGAAGAGAAAGTAGATTTGGTAGTGGAAATGGACTCTGACCAGCTTTTGCCAGTCTGCATGTGCGTGCTCAATTCCTTTCCTCAAGTCTTTCAGGACAAAGGAGGTTTCTGAAGGCCACTGAAACAATCAGCACATCTCTGGATCTGGTATTCCAGACCAACAAAAGACTCTTCCTCCCTCAAGGAGATGAAACAGCTCTTTGGAGTTCAGACTTAGCTCCACAAAGAGTGGAGAGACATCTTTCAAAGCCTCCCATCCCCAAACTTCTCCCACCCCATCCCTGAAGATGTGACCTTTGTCCCAAAGCACCTATAATTTAGGTTTAAAAAAAGAAAAAGAGCTGGAGAAGTAGACAACAGTGAGTCAACACCTGCCAAAATGATAGGCTGTGGCATCCTAATTACTCAAAGATTATTTGTAGACACGATTGCAAACTGAAGTGCGAGAGTTTTGACAGAGGGTAAGGCTGTAGCTTCATGCTGCTTGCAGGGACAGCTTGCTACGCGTGAAACAGGGGAGTGCACTTACTTCTTGGCAGCCCAACCCAAACAGTCTTCTGACCTGCATGGACTATCCCTCTTTTCCCTGTGACCTAGGGGAGAATACAGAAAGGCAAAGAAGGATTGCGGGAATGCCAGTCACGTAGTCCTTGAGGTCACTCTGCAGATCAAAGTACCCCCAAAACTGGAGATTAAAGGCTGGGGGGGCGGGGAGGAGGGATATGAGCTTTACTCAATCTCAGGTGGCAGGGAGAGCTCAGGGGATCAAGAGACTTGGGGGAGGACAGGTAAAGCCAATACCTGCCCAGTACCTGTGAGGAGCCTTTCTTGCCATTACTGCAGCCCCAGGATTGAAACCAGGATCCAGCCCCATGATGGCTGGATAAGCTACCTGTCCTGGGCTGAGCCAAATCTTTCACAAGCCTGATATTTGATCCCTAGGATATCTTGATCTTGTGCCTTGAGCCACCACCCAGCAGCACTTCCCCAGAAACTCACAAAGTAGGAGAAAATGACACGCTTGGGCCCATGTTCCAGGTCCTCCTTGTAAACTCTGAAGTCCACCTGGACAGCCTGCTCTTCACCACAGGGCATCGTTCCTGGTACGCGGACAATAGAGAGAAAACTCCTGCTGGTGCTGTAGAATGGACGTATGAGATGAGAGGCTTGCTGGTAACTCAAATCAACTGTCCCAGCCTCTTTATCCAAATCTTGATGCAGGACACTTGCCTGGCAAGACAAAAAAAAACCCCAACAAACTCGCAGTTAACTTAACTAAGCCAGTCAGCTGCAGATCACCCTAGCTGTGGCTTGGTCAGAAGCTCAGATCAGCTCTGAGCAACCCCATAGCACAGGTCTCTGTGTGGAGACTTCACGAGGAAAGCAACTGGGATCTGGAGAATAAGCTCTCAGAGGGGGCCAAGATCCAGAATACGCTGAGGTGTTTCAGGTTTGAATTACTGTCCTTCAGGAAGGGACAGGGGAGATGTCTGTGGGGCAGTAAATAGCTCTGAGGTGCATGCCATACCCCTGCCAACAAGACAGATCCTTCCTCACTTACTTCCAGCAAGGCCAAGGTGCTGTTCCAAGCAGTCGTGTTCAGGCTAAATGAAGCTGTCCCAGAGTCCCCAGTGATGTACTTCTGCTTAAACTGCTGCTCACCGCAGCTTAATGTGAGGATGACTTCTTTGTGCTTCAGTGCCTTGCCTTGGAGGTCAATGACTTTAATCTGAGAACATCATGGTGAGCAAGAGAAGTGCAGAAGGCTCTAATCAGCAGACAGAATCTCACAGAATCACAGAAGACAGCAAGGTCACCCTTCCAGTCACTAACAATACTATAAACCCTGCTACTGATGACCTTCTGCTATTGTTTGCACTACCGTGTCCATTCACCCCCACACTCTCTACCCCTTCACAGCAGAAGGTCTCCTGGCTGCTGCTATTCCAAGTGTTTGAGTTTGCACCCCACATATGGATCCCCACAGCTGCTGCCACTCAAGGCTTATTTGGCAAAGGGCAGTCTTGGGTGCTATTCTCACTTTTGACAATTCAAGAGTTTTGTCTCTGGGAGTCATTCATGCCCTCCCAAGCCCCTGGCTGGAGGTGAGGTCGGAAGAGACACCGGGTAACCGCTGCCATGAAAGCATTGCTCACGCTGTCCCCTCCAAAGGACCGTAACTGGGAATTACCTTCCCTCTGTACATCTCTCCAGGGTGGTAGTAAGAATTCACATCATCAAACAAGGCCATCCCACCAATCTTGGAGATGAATAATTTGTGGGAAGCATTGACCTGTATGTCTGAATGAAAGCAGCAAGACAGAAACATAAGGGAGGGAGCAAGGAAGCCAAGCACCCCTCAGCAGTCTCCCTGCTGGGTGACCCACTGATGCACATGTTCAGCTGCACACACATTTCGTACCAGAGATGATCTCCCCAGGGCTCTGGGTATCTTTTAGCCCTTTGAGAGGTCCCTAAGCCTCACCATCTGAGACTGCAGGGGCTCAGAGCGAGTGTGTCATGCCACCAGGAACTGTTTAGTTTGGAGAAGAGAAGGCTGAGGGGGGACCTCGTTGCCCTCTACAACTCCCTGAGAGGAGGGTGTAGAGAGGTGGGGGTTGGTCTCTTCTCCCAAGGGAATAATGACAGGAGCAGAGGAAATGGTCTGAAGTTGTGGCAGGGGAGGTTTAGATTAGATCTTAGGAAGAATTACTTTACTGAGAGGGTGGTCAGGCACTGGAACAGCCTGCCCAGGGAGGTGGTGGAGTCCCCATCCCTGGAGGTATTTAAGAAATGTGTAGATGTGGCACTTCAGGGCATGCTCTAGTGCCTGAGATCGTTGGTTTGTGTCTGTCTGTGGTTTGTTTGTGTGGGTTTCTTTCTTTTTTTTTTTTTTTGTGGTTGGACTCGATTATCTCAAAGGTCCCTTCCAACCATGAGGATCCTGTGATTCTCCGTATCTGTGAGATTATATGGCAGGCCCCAACAGCCTCAGAAAGCTCAGAGCCCTTCCTAGCCTGCAAGGGCATCTCCACATGCCTCTTCCCAGCCACCTGCCGTTTCCAGAGTTACCTGTGCCATCCTCCACCAGCAGGGCCTCTGCAACTATGCTGTCCTGATAGTACCGAAAGTCTTGACTGAAGGAAGACAGGCTCACATTTGTGAAGAAGCAACCCATCTCATCTGTCTGAAAGCACAAAGAGAGGAAACAAGGTCTGAGCAAGGCAACAGAGCATAGGCACCCTTACCACCTCCAGGGCAGAAGGCTTGGGGATTCACCTCCTCCCACCTGTGACCAGTTTCCAGCTGGGTGCCAGGCAAGATAGCCCCAGCACAGCAGTGAGAGGGCACCTCTGTCCCGCAAGCTTATTAGTGCCACTGTGCCCTCCATAGTGGCTCTACACATTCCCATCCTGGCAAGGGAAGCCTGTAAACAGAACACCTTCTCCCTTGCTGAGGGTTTTACTTCTCTGGAACCAGGAACGCAGCACACACATGGAAAGAACAAGACAGTGGAGCCTCAGAAACCTCGGAAAGGGCATGGGGGGTTCTGGGTTAGGGCTTTCTTAGGGCTAAACTCAGAGATACGGCATTTGGAAAGGTGTTATCATAGCTGAATTCCTTACCGGTGACCGAGACGGAGGCTCTGACTGAACCTTCAACCACGTTTGGAGGCAACATGAGAGATACAGACTCCTGTGCTGGATTCCCTGACAGCAGAAGGGTAAGGTGTGTGGGGAGGACAAAAAGAAAGAGATCTGATGAAAACAGCCTTCAAAATCCCCAGAAACTGCTCAAGACTGTTCTGTGCTAACACCCAGTTTTCTGTCACAGAGGTTGCAGGTCTCCTTAAAAACCTCGTCCCATTCCACTCTCAGCTCCCTCCGTCCACCTCATCATGACTGTGCTATCCTAACAGCCTTCCTTCTAAAGAGGTTGATAGGATCTTGTCCTTGAAACGCTTTGTGGTCAAAGCCTCCTGCTTTTCTCTACATAAGTTACCCCATCTCGTTTCAGATTTCAGTTACAGGCATGTCTTCTCAATGTTTCTCCAAAAGATTGGACCTCCCCACATCCCTACCCAGGGGAAGCTCTAGCTGGCACCACAACTACAATATGCTTCTGTAGCTTGGTCATGTTGACAGAGAAAATATTTCAACAAGCGGAAAGACCCAGGAGGGGCTTAAGCAGGAAGGGGTGGATGAGCAGGGTGAAAGAGGAGAACAATCTCTCTACCTTTTTTGGGACACAGGATGGAGCTGTGAGCCTTTTCTACCAACACTCCCTCTGGCTGTTGAAGCACATAAAAGTAGCATTATAATGAGCACACAGGAGAGAAACAGGATTACAGGTGGATTAGAAATAGATAGGGACAAAATCCTGGTTCAGGCTGGAGAGTCAGCTGGAGTAACATCATCATCACATAAAAATGTAAATTATTGCCAATCATTTTCATTTCAGATAAGAAAACAACATGCATTTTCAGAACATCATAACTTCTGAATGTCTGTGAAACTGATGTTGTAAGATTCATCAGAGAGCTCAGGAGCATGGACATAAAGGGGTTTATGTATTTAGAGTTTTCCATGGTAAGAAGCGGAGGATATCCCTCTACGTCCCAGATCTATCAGCCCTCAAGGTTGGACCCAGCTCAGGCCCTGAGATTCTAATTGCGCACCTTGAATAGGAAGGGGTAACACCCAAAATTAACTTGCACAAAATCTGGGAATTGCACAAAGCCCACTTATATGTCTGTGTAACAGAAAAGCTCGTCTGACCCGCACTAGAAGGGGTTTGGTGATCATGTCTTTCTGTCCTTGGTCTGGAACGAATACTGTCTCTTTGCCACACAGCTCTTCGGTGGCCACAGCCTCTGTGCTGAGGGTGATGTTTGTGAGCCCTGAAAATAACACATATTTAGGTCAGTTAAACATCTTCTCAGGGAGCACTTCTTATCAATACAATAGAAGTCACCTGTCAACAACGAAAAACTGGATTAGAGCTCTGTATGATTCTGTACCTCCTAGCACAGACTTGAGAGTGATCCTGACCTTATTGATGAGTGCAAATGAGTACTCTCTGGTTAACAGGGTAAACAACTCCTCACTCCATGTCAGCTCCTAGAAAACATTCCCACCTTGGTCCCACCTCTGCCGAATTCCATCCCACCCCCATCCTTCTCACCCAGCTGCTCAGCTGTGACAATCCACTGAAAGGTCTTAGCTTCCCTGGCACATAAGCAGCTGGTGTAGACACAGCCTTCACACGGCTTCAGCTGGAAGTGTGCAATCTCCTCCAGGGTCACACGGATCTGAAGAGGGAGCAGGGATGGCAGATGGTAACAAGATCAGCATCACAGGTCATAGATTTCAGCCATCTCCTACCTACCCATACCGTGCTTTTCTTGCAGAGCCTGTCAGAGCTCACCTACCTTCATGCATCGCTGCAGGTAGTTGAAGACTGTGGCCTTCAAGGTGAAGGTCTCACCCTGGACCACAGAAGATGGCAGGGTGAGCTCCACAAGAAAGGGCTTGAAAACAAGCAGACTGGAGGCTGGAGCAAGTCCAAAGCCATTACGTCCTGTGCAGAACATCTCTGCTTTCCATTTTGTGATGGTGTTAGGCACAGTGACAGTGACACTCTTGTTCCCGCTGGGACTGAGGAGAAGCAGACAACAACAGACACATTTAACTCTATCTTGCTGTACGCAGCACCAGGTGACCTGGTCTGCACCATTCTCTCCAGTGCACCCCATCACTCCAACCCCTAACCTCTGCTGTACTTATAGCCTTTGTAAGGTTACAAGTAGGTCCTTGTAGAAGTAAGGATGCTTATATCAACAGAACGTTTTTGACAATAGGTTACATGGCTGCAAGATGCCATCAGTCACACTCAGTGCTTTTCTCAGACAGCACTTGCCCCTTGTATGTCTAAAAATGCTCTACAGATGTCAGCAATTTTATTCTTCTTGGTCCAGGGCTGGAGAACCAGACACCAGAAGAGCAACAAGACGGGCTCAACATCAGTAGAACTCAGCAGAAGAGACAGATCCAGCCATTCACCTTCCTGTGAGACAACTGACAGCTTAAAGTCCAACATGAAGACAGGGCTTGGCTTGTGCCCACATCACAACTTCTGAGAGCAGCAGACTGTTCTGTGGCTGCTATGAAACAGCCCTAGCTAAAGCTTATGACATTATTTGACTCCCAATAACTGGACACATTCATTTTTGCCAGGCACGTACAGGAAGGCAATGCACACAACACAGAGACTTTTGGTTGCACAGATCAGGCTGGTGGACAAATCACTCAGGAGGTACCTGCTGCTAGGGAGCAAAGAGATGGATGTAGCTGGAAGAACAGTGGAGGTGGGAGAGGGCAGACATTGGGCATGGGGGGAGCATCTGGCCTGAGCAGACTCCAGACACCAGACAAGAAATTCTTAAAAGTCAGAGATGAAAAATCTCCAAAAGCTCTCTCAGCAGACCCTGTCTCACAGGACACAGTTCCCAGTCCTGTGAAGGAATTCTGTGGAAATCGGCTTCCCCTGCGTGCCAGGATATGTCCTGTGAGCAGAGTTTGGAAAATGCCAGCCCACAGAGCCTACCACAAGCAGAGTGCAGGCAGCAAACCAAGCTCTCTTCCCATGCCAGCCACCTCCCATGGATGGACAATACTTCTGTCCAGTCATCTAGCACTGGAAAATGCATTTGATGCAGACATAAACCACGAGGGGAAATGGCCTGAAAGGTATGAGCCCGGTGACATATGTCCTTAGACATCTTCCCCAGCAGTTTATTATCTAAATCCAGTTGTATCTGCTGCCATTCCTGGCCATGCTAAGCCACCCAGACTAGACCCATGCTGCTCAGCTTACTCACCCCACAGAATACAAATCCCATATCCAGGTTTGGGGGAGATGCTTGTGTACTTTCTCTTCAGCTGAAGAAAGAGATGAAAACATGGTGGGCTGATAGGTAGGTGTGAGATGCTCTGCTGGAAATAACAAAGACCCGGTCACCACAGGGTCCTCAGGCCCTGGTTTAGAGCAGAGGGGCTCCAGCCCAGCTCAGGCTGCAGGTCATCAAGACAGCTCTTGGGAAGCACAGCACTGGAACAGAAGGTGCTATCCCAAATTTTAAAAACTCCTGCCTCATTTCAAACAACTGAGGTGCTGTGGGCCTTACTTGCATTTGTAGGCAGTAGGAAGGGCAGCTATTCCCTCACCTCAGAGACAAGACTTTTGGGATCCAGACAGCTCACTAGCATTTCAGAGCCAGAAGCCATGAGCCCCAGGCAGCTTCACAAGAGCACAACAGGTTTAGAGCCAGGGAATGCTCTTGCTCCTCCATTTGCAGTTACAGCAAGTACTGCCTCTTAGCTCAAACCCAGGGCTGCTTTCACTTGGAAGACTGAGCATCCCATGGAAGAAGAAAGAGTTGGCAAATGCTTACTGTTATATGCTTTATGGGGCTGGGCAAACATCAACGTGGGCCTGGAAGTAAACACTGCTGTTTCCTGCAGCATAGTTGTCGATGGAGTGGTTGGACACACTGTGGGTTTCCTGATATTAGTGTTGGACATAATTTTCAACCCCATTTCCTGTAGGAAAAAAAAAGAAAAAAAGAACTGGTGCATCAGAAGCTTGTCTTGTCTCTGCTCTCTACCCTGTACCTTCTTGTCCCCTCACACAGCGGGGACTCGGGAAAAAAAAAAGAAAAAAAGAACTGGTGCACCAGAAGCTTGTCTTCTCTCTGCTCTCTACCCTGTGCCTTCTTGTCCCCTCACACAGCGGGGACTCGGCTTTCTTCTGGCTTGGCAAAGTATTCTCTTGCTTCATTTTAAGAGGACATTATTCAGACCTTCAGCAATGGGCAAACAAGGTCTGCTGAGCTAATTCATCTGCCCAAGAGTCAGCCACATTTATGCTTTTTCAAACACATCCTCATTTAGGTACTATGCCTTCTCAGCCTGCAGAGCGCCATTGCTCCTGCTACGGAGATTAAACAAACTATGGGAAATCCAATTAAAGTAACCAATCATTCTTGGCATCCTGAATCACACAACCAAAGCCCAGTCACCACACAAAAATTTCTGCTTGGTCAACAATTTCAAATAACTCACTCAAATAACAAGTGAGTTACAAGGGCCTGTTCCCTGTACTGTCTCCCTAGGATATTGCTGAAATCGGGGGGCCACACTTCCCTCAGTTCACGAATAATCCCAACCCACCAAATCAACCCTTTTTTACCCGGAATGCTGTAAACACATCAGGCTCATCAGAATTTGGGAACCCGCATGAGTGATCATCTTCAGACACTTGGTGAGGATACCTGGAGTTATAAAGAGATGGGAAGAGCCCATAGATCTGGGAAGGCAACAAAAAAATATAAATCAGCACAAATAAAAGCTGGCATTCCCTTCCTGTCTTACATCCAAGGCCTGTTTGAATTGCTTCTGGCTACCATGCATGACAGAAAGCCCAGGCTCACTATCACTCTTCCCTGGCTCTCCTCTGATAGAGCCAACAGAAGCTGCTGAGATGGACATGAGGCAGAACAACAGAAGCTGATCTATCACACCATTACACCACTGAGTGATGTTCAAACCCTTTCTTAATGCGTGCCCCCTAACCCTTACCCCAGCTACTCTGAGAGCACTGGTGATCCCTCTGGGCAGTGCTTTGAGTTCCTTGGGAGACAACTTCTGCACAGATGGGATGGCCTGTCTGTCTGTCTCCCTCTTCATGTCAGTACAAGGGAAGGGAAGAACTCAGAGCAGGCTCACTCACCAAGGAGCCACTAAGCTCTTCTCCTGGCTTGAGCAAAAGGTCGGTCTGATCCACAGTCCAGACAGCACACGTGGACCCAGGAGGTGCCAGCAGGTGGAGACCAACCTCTGAATCAGGAAGGGTCTTGGGCGTTGAGAAGCCCAGCTCCACCTGAACAGGACGAATGCAGGCAATAGGTGAGTGACATTTCTGCTACAGGCCACCATCTCCTCAACAGGGAAGGGACCTACGTGAAGAGAGTTTCCAAGGACTTGCCTTGGATGGAAACCTGAGGAATCTCCCAAGGAACCCCAGAAAGTATTTAAAAAAACATCACATTGAGGTTCCACCAGGAAAGATGCCAGAGGGGGAGCTATCACTGTGCGTAGCTGGAGACATTCCCGTGTCAGACCACAGCGCTATCTCTAGCCAGCAAACCAGCCAGCCATCTTCACACACCTCACAGAGCTGTCCTTCTGCTCCTTTTGGAGCCCCAGATCAAAAAGTAAGCCTAATCCTTATTTCCAGGCTTTTTGTGGGGTTGGTCTCAGTTTCCTGTTCTTGCTTTAATCTGACTGTCTGCGGCAGATAAAGAGCTGTGGAGCAGGGGTAAGGCCAGTCCTCAGAAGCTGGAGTGGAAGACACAGCCAAGAAAGCAGATTCCCATGGATGTCACAGTGACCACAAGAGCTCAGCCCTTTCTGGATCACAGAACCACATGGGGTTGGAAGGGACCTCTGGAGATCATCTAGTTCAACTCCCCTGTCCAAAGCAGGTCCACCCAGAGCAGGTTGCACAGGAACATGTCCAGGTGAGTTTTCCATGTCTCCAGAGAAGGAAACTCCACCACCTCCCTGGGCAGCCTCTTCCAGGGCTCTGCCACCCTCAAAGCGAAGAAGTTCCTCTTCATGTTTAAAATCCAGGTTTTCTACTAGCCACTTTCGGCTGTATTCCCAACACCACATACCAACAAGCTGAAGTGCCTGCTGCAGCAGCAGAGCAGCCTTGAGCTCTCCTGGGAATCCTACTAACAACCTGTGCTGGGCTGTGTTCCTATAGGGTTGCCGTTGCTACAAGATCCTATGGAGACAGACACCAATTTTCTGCCTTTCCCAAACATTGCAGCAGCCCCCCAGTGCTCAGCACGTACCTTACTCCATACATCACAGCACCCTTCACCACTCATACGCTGCAGTTCACGTGGCAGCATCCCACACAGGATGAGCCACACAGGGCTACACATGTTACGTATTCCTCAGTCTCTACCTCCATTGCAGTAGGAACACACACCCTCACACTTTCAGTCATGGCCTCAGGCACAAAACCTACCTTATTTCTGAAGCACGTGGAGACGCTGAAGACAGCAGAGTCGGCAATGATTTTTCCATTAGGGAAGATAACATAAACAACGAGTCTTGGAGCAGGGGCATAGATCGAGCTGAAGGTAAGAGGGATGGAGAAGAAGCCTTCCATCACTAGATGGAGGAGAGAGGGAAGAAGAGAAAGTAGATTTGGTAGTGGAAATGGACTCTGACCAGCTTTTGCCAGTCTGCATGTGCGTGCTCAATTCCTTTCCTCAAGTCTTTCAGGACAAAGGAGGTTTCTGAAGGCCACTGAAACAATCAGCACATCTCTGGATCTGGTATTCCAGACCAACAAAAGACTCTTCCTCCCTCAAGGAGATGAAACAGCTCTTTGGAGTTCAGACTTAGCTCCACAAAGAGTGGAGAGACATCTTTCAAAGCCTCCCATCCCCAAACTTCTCCCACCCCATCCCTGAAGATGTGACCTTTGTCCCAAAGCACCTATAATTTAGGTTTAAAAAAAGAAAAAGAGCTGGAGAAGTAGACAACAGTGAGTCAACACCTGCCAAAATGATAGGCTGTGGCATCCTAATTACTCAAAGATTATTTGTAGACACGATTGCAAACTGAAGTGCGAGAGTTTTGACAGAGGGTAAGGCTGTAGCTTCATGCTGCTTGCAGGGACAGCTTGCTACGCGTGAAACAGGGGAGTGCACTTACTTCTTGGCAGCCCAACCCAAACAGTCTTCTGACCTGCATGGACTATCCCTCTTTTCCCTGTGACCTAGGGGAGAATACAGAAAGGCAAAGAAGGATTGCGGGAATGCCAGTCACGTAGTCCTTGAGGTCACTCTGCAGATCAAAGTACCCCCAAAACTGGAGATTAAAGGCTGGGGGGGCGGGGAGGAGGGATATGAGCTTTACTCAATCTCAGGTGGCAGGGAGAGCTCAGGGGATCAAGAGACTTGGGGGAGGACAGGTAAAGCCAATACCTGCCCAGTACCTGTGAGGAGCCTTTCTTGCCATTACTGCAGCCCCAGGATTGAAACCAGGATCCAGCCCCATGATGGCTGGATAAGCTACCTGTCCTGGGCTGAGCCAAATCTTTCACAAGCCTGATATTTGATCCCTAGGATATCTTGATCTTGTGCCTTGAGCCACCACCCAGCAGCACTTCCCCAGAAACTCACAAAGTAGGAGAAAATGACACGCTTGGGCCCATGTTCCAGGTCCTCCTTGTAAACTCTGAAGTCCACCTGGACAGCCTGCTCTTCACCACAGGGCATCGTTCCTGGTACGCGGACAATAGAGAGAAAACTCCTGCTGGTGCTGTAGAATGGACGTATGAGATGAGAGGCTTGCTGGTAACTCAAATCAACTGTCCCAGCCTCTTTATCCAAATCTTGATGCAGGACACTTGCCTGGCAAGACAAAAAAAAACCCCAACAAACTCGCAGTTAACTTAACTAAGCCAGTCAGCTGCAGATCACCCTAGCTGTGGCTTGGTCAGAAGCTCAGATCAGCTCTGAGCAACCCCATAGCACAGGTCTCTGTGTGGAGACTTCACGAGGAAAGCAACTGGGATCTGGAGAATAAGCTCTCAGAGGGGGCCAAGATCCAGAATACGCTGAGGTGTTTCAGGTTTGAATTACTGTCCTTCAGGAAGGGACAGGGGAGATGTCTGTGGGGCAGTAAATAGCTCTGAGGTGCATGCCATACCCCTGCCAACAAGACAGATCCTTCCTCACTTACTTCCAGCAAGGCCAAGGTGCTGTTCCAAGCAGTCGTGTTCAGGCTAAATGAAGCTGTCCCAGAGTCCCCAGTGATGTACTTCTGCTTAAACTGCTGCTCACCGCAGCTTAATGTGAGGATGACTTCTTTGTGCTTCAGTGCCTTGCCTTGGAGGTCAATGACTTTAATCTGAGAACATCATGGTGAGCAAGAGAAGTGCAGAAGGCTCTAATCAGCAGACAGAATCTCACAGAATCACAGAAGACAGCAAGGTCACCCTTCCAGTCACTAACAATACTATAAACCCTGCTACTGATGACCTTCTGCTATTGTTTGCACTACCGTGTCCATTCACCCCCACACTCTCTACCCCTTCACAGCAGAAGGTCTCCTGGCTGCTGCTATTCCAAGTGTTTGAGTTTGCACCCCACATATGGATCCCCACAGCTGCTGCCACTCAAGGCTTATTTGGCAAAGGGCAGTCTTGGGTGCTATTCTCACTTTTGACAATTCAAGAGTTTTGTCTCTGGGAGTCATTCATGCCCTCCCAAGCCCCTGGCTGGAGGTGAGGTCGGAAGAGACACCGGGTAACCGCTGCCATGAAAGCATTGCTCACGCTGTCCCCTCCAAAGGACCGTAACTGGGAATTACCTTCCCTCTGTACATCTCTCCAGGGTGGTAGTAAGAATTCACATCATCAAACAAGGCCATCCCACCAATCTTGGAGATGAATAATTTGTGGGAAGCATTGACCTGTATGTCTGAATGAAAGCAGCAAGACAGAAACATAAGGGAGGGAGCAAGGAAGCCAAGCACCCCTCAGCAGTCTCCCTGCTGGGTGACCCACTGATGCACATGTTCAGCTGCACACACATTTCGTACCAGAGATGATCTCCCCAGGGCTCTGGGTATCTTTTAGCCCTTTGAGAGGTCCCTAAGCCTCACCATCTGAGACTGCAGGGGCTCAGAGCGAGTGTGTCATGCCACCAGGAACTGTTTAGTTTGGAGAAGAGAAGGCTGAGGGGGGACCTCGTTGCCCTCTACAACTCCCTGAGAGGAGGGTGTAGAGAGGTGGGGGTTGGTCTCTTCTCCCAAGGGAATAATGACAGGAGCAGAGGAAATGGTCTGAAGTTGTGGCAGGGGAGGTTTAGATTAGATCTTAGGAAGAATTACTTTACTGAGAGGGTGGTCAGGCACTGGAACAGCCTGCCCAGGGAGGTGGTGGAGTCCCCATCCCTGGAGGTATTTAAGAAATGTGTAGATGTGGCACTTCAGGGCATGCTCTAGTGCCTGAGATCGTTGGTTTGTGTCTGTCTGTGGTTTGTTTGTGTGGGTTTCTTTCTTTTTTTTTTTTTTTGTGGTTGGACTCGATTATCTCAAAGGTCCCTTCCAACCATGAGGATCCTGTGATTCTCCGTATCTGTGAGATTATATGGCAGGCCCCAACAGCCTCAGAAAGCTCAGAGCCCTTCCTAGCCTGCAAGGGCATCTCCACATGCCTCTTCCCAGCCACCTGCCGTTTCCAGAGTTACCTGTGCCATCCTCCACCAGCAGGGCCTCTGCAACTATGCTGTCCTGATAGTACCGAAAGTCTTGACTGAAGGAAGACAGGCTCACATTTGTGAAGAAGCAACCCATCTCATCTGTCTGAAAGCACAAAGAGAGGAAACAAGGTCTGAGCAAGGC